TCTGGGGTGGATTTTGGCAGCCAAACTCATGAATGTGAGGGCCTGTGAGGGTGTTCCCAGGGGGAGGGGGCCTAAGTTGTGTGGAGGGAGCCTTGTATGTAGGCGTTGTGGAGAGGGGTCCCCAGGGGCTGCGGATGTGGGATAGGCAGCCCAGGAGACCCAGGAAGGGGGGCCGCTGACAACTACATCTGTCATTTCTCAGTCTGTGCTCCTGGGGAGGTGGGAGAACCGTGTCGTGGATTCGTCATTTGGATGATTCATCCCACTGCCCCAGCCCAGCTGCTGGGGAGACCCTCGTGCTGTTTCCAGGCTCCCCTAGAATGTCTCTGCCCCTTCCTTCCTAGGGCATAGCTTCCCAAGCTCCAGGGGACTTGGGCTGGAAGTTAGCATCTTCCTTGTAAACCTTCAGTGTCTGGGACTAAGGGTCTGGCTCTGTCCCCAGATGGCTCCTGCTTCCCTCCCTCCCCCACACACCTCCTCTCCCACTCACCACCACACACATTGGCCATCACCACCTTTGTTGAGGCTGATAAGAGCATCTCCCTGACGGTTGGCCAGCTTCCCTGAGCCAGGAGGGAGGGCCATCTAGAGCCAGGAGGCCTGGCTGGCAGAGCTGTGACTTGCCACCCCTCCTCCCTGCTCCAGGGGTGGGGTGGGGGTGGGGGCAGCAAATGGCCTAGGGATGGCCTGATGGGGGCAGGGCCAGGGCCTCCCTGTGCCGGGCACTGTTGACCGCTTCTGTCACAGGGCCTTTTGTTCCCTGCACAGGACACACTGAATAATAATTCTCTGGGCAAGAAGCACAGTTGGCAGGACCGAGTGTCTCGGTCATCCTCACCGCTGAAAACAGGTAAGGCAGGACCCTTTTCCTTTCCTGGCCCTCCACCTGCCCTGACTCGGTCCCCACTGCAGAGAGCAGACCCAGCTCCAGGTTGCGGAGGACAGGTGAAGTGCCTGTCCCACGGCCCTGAGCAGGCCCACTGGGGTCTGGGGTCCGCCGTGGAGTGGGTTAGAGGCCTGGCCCCAGCGCTGTCACGGGCTTCCTGCCTGGCAGGCTGGTCTTGGTTTGGGGGTCGATGTGCTGAGTGGAGGGAGCAGATAGCCCGGGAGTCAAGGCCGGGAGCCACCCCCTTCAGCCCTGGCCTGCCCGCTCTCCAGGGGAGCAGACACCGCCACATGAACACATCTGCCTGAGCGATGAGCTGCCACCCCAGGGCAGCCCCGCCCCCACCAAGGATCGCGGCACCTCCACCGACAGCCCGTGTCGCCGCAGCGCTGCCACCCAGATGGCGCCTCCCAGTGGGCCCCCTGCTGCCCCCGCTGGGGGCCGGGGCCACTCACATCGAGACCGCATCCACTACCAGGCGGATGTGCGGCTAGAGGCCACCGAGGAGATCTACCTGACACCAGTGCAGCGGCCCTCAGACCCCGCAGAGCCCACCTCCGCCTTCTTGCCGCCGGCCGAGAGCCGGATGTCAGTCAGCTCTGATCCAGACCCTGCCGCCTACCCCTCTGCTGCGGGGCGGCCGCACCCCTCCATCAGCGAGGAGGACGAGGGCTTCGACTGCTTGTCGTCCCCGGATCGGGCCGAGCCGCCAGGCAGCGGGTGGCGGGGGAGCCTGGGGGAGCCGCCGCCACCTCCCCGGGCCTCGCTGAGCTCGGACACCAGCGCCCTGTCCTACGACTCGGTCAAGTACACGCTGGTGGTGGATGAGCATGCGCAGCTGGAGCTGGTGAGCCTGCGGCCGTGCTTCGGAGACTACAGCGACGAGAGTGACTCGGCCACTGTCTATGACAACTGTGCCTCGGCCTCCTCGCCCTATGAGTCGGCCATTGGGGAGGAATACGAGGAGGCCCCCCGGCCGCGGCCCCCCGCCTGCCTCTCCGAGGACTCCACGCCCGACGAACCCGACGTCCACTTCTCCAAGAAGTTCCTGAACGTCTTCATGAGCGGCCGCTCTCGCTCCTCCAGTGAGTCCGCAGCCGAGAGCTGGGGGATCCCGAGGGGGGAGAGGCGACAGGAGGGTGCTCCCGGGAGGCGGCCTCAGGCCCATCTGGCTCAAGGCATGAGGACTGAGAGCTCTCTGCCTGCTCCCCTGACCTAGACCAGGGCTGGGGCCATCCTCCTCCTGCCCGTCCCTCTCGCTGCAGGTGCCGAGTCCTTCGGGCTCTTCTCCTGTGTCATCAACGGGGAGGAGCAGGAGCAGACCCACCGGGCCATATTCAGGTAGAAGCGGTGGGCCAGGCTGGCGAGGCAGCCGCTGGGGTCACCCCCCTCCCCGCCTCTGCCATCACTACTGGCATGCATTCGTCCACTCAGCCCCGGGGCACAGCGTCCGTCCTCTAGGAACTCAGAGTAGGGGCATGGAGTGGATGGTTTCGGTGCAGTACGGCCTCTGCTCTGCTGCCGGAGCCCAGGACTGAGCACCTTATCTGGTGGGGGGCACACCCCGGGGGCACCCTGCAGAGATGGTGCCTGACCACACCCCAACTCCCTCACCGCCCTCCTTTGCATGGAAGTACTCACATCCCATGCTCTCTCCCGGTTTTATCAGGGGCTCTGGTCACTTCCTCCCTTGGCCCATGAGTTTTTCGATGGCAGATGCGTGTCTGGTTGACCTGATTGCCCCCAGGAGCTAGCGTTGTGACAGGCACACAGGATGCTTTGCAAATGTTTGTTGAATGAACGATGCCGAGGCAGCTCCCCGATCCCAGAGCAGGGGGCGGAGTAGATGGATGGCCTGGCTGGAGAGGCCCTGGGGGTGAATTCATTACATGCCCTGGCTGGGGACAGGTTTGTGCCTCGACATGAAGACGAACTTGAGCTGGAAGTGGATGACCCTTTGCTGGTGGAGCTGCAGGCCGAGGACTACTGGTACGACGCCTACAACATGCGCACAGGCGCCAGGGGCATCTTCCCTGCCTACTACGCCATCGAGGTGGCCAAGGAGCCTGAACATATGGCAGGTAGTGTTCCTTTCCCCCTACCTGGTGCCACCAGGCCCCACATCTGTCCTGCCCCGACCTGCTGCTGGGTGAACCTATGCTCCAGATCTCAACCCGGGAGGGGGCCCGAGCCGAGGTGACTTTAGGTCAATTTCACAATTGAGAAAAGGGAGGCCCTGGCAAGTTGGGCCGTCCGTGAGTTGTGGCACCCTCTGCTGGCTCTGCCACGCCTCGCCTCGCCTCATGCTTGCTTTCCAGCCCTGACCAAAAACAGCGACTGGGTGGACCAGTTCCGGGCCAAGTTCCTGGGCTCAGTCCAGGTTCCCTACCACAAGGGCAATGACGTCCTCTGTGCCGCTATGCAAAAGGTACCTGCTCCCCGTGGGGGGTCTCCGTCCTCTCCTGGGGAGAGGGACCCCCAGCGCCTGATGTTCCCTCCCCTCACCCACAGATTGCCACCACCCGCCGGCTCACCGTGCACTTTAACCCGCCCTCCAGCTGCGTCCTAGAGATCAGCGTGCGGGGTGTGAAGATAGGCGTCAAGGCTGATGACGCCCAGGAGGCCAAGGTGACCGCCAGCTCCAGCCCCCGCTCTCCCGCCAGACCTCCACCTGTGCCCCCTGCAGGCTGGTGACCACTCTCTTCTCTTCTCCCTCCTGTAGGGGAATAAATGTAGCCACTTTTTCCAGTTAAAAAACATCTCTTTCTGCGGATACCATCCAAAGAACAACAAGTGAGTCGGGTGGGACAGAGTCGAGGTGTGGGCGTGTCTGGAGCCGTTCCGGTAGGACGTGGGGTCCACGCCCCGTCCTGCCTGCAGACAGACCGCTGTCCTCCCACAGGTACTTTGGGTTCATCACCAAACACCCGGCTGACCACCGGTTTGCCTGTCACGTCTTTGTGTCTGAAGAATCCACTAAAGCCCTGGCAGAATCTGTGGGGTACGTGTGTGTGTGCCCGTGTGGTATCTTGCCGAGGACCCAGCCCACTGACAAGCCCGAGACTCAGGCCCTAAGCACCTCCCTCCTGCTCAGCATCCTCCCTCAGTCGTCCCCGCAGCTCTGCACACCTGTCTCCCCTCACAGCGCAGTGGCCTGGAGAGAGGGCGGGGGTCTTGAGGAGCAGCTTCCAAACTTAGGGGCTGCTGGAGTTGAACTCTTACTCAGGAAACGCAGTTCGCGGAGAACAGAGCTGAGCAGCTGCGCTGGGGGGGCTCCCGTTGGAAAGCCTCGGCCCCGGGTCCCGTTCCTCCACAGCCATCGTGTGTCTGCCTGCCTCCTAGGAGGGCGTTTCAGCAGTTCTATAAGCAGTTCGTGGAGTACACCTGCCCCACGGAAGACATCTACCTGGAGTAGCTGCACTGCCCCGCCCCCGACACCCCCGGGCCCTCAGGCTGGTGCCAAGACAGCTGCTGCAGACAGGATGTGGCGCTGCTGGAGGAGGGGCACCGCCACCACCAGAGGATGGGGAAGTGGAGGCTGGTGGCTGAGGGTGGGGAGGGCGGGGGTCATGGGGAGAGGCAAATGCGGTTTATTGTAACATATGGGATTAGATTCGTCTATGGAGGACAGAGCGGGCTGCCCCGGGATTGGGAGGGGTGGGCTGGGGGTATCAGGCCTCTGGGGTACCAGGAAGGGTACCCATCTTAGGAGCAGAGGGTTCTGCCCCATCCGGGGCCTCACTTCTGGGCCCAGGGCCTCTGGCTCTCTGGCTGTTGGCTCCTGCCTTGACAGTGCCCATGCCACCTGCAAATGCCCCCCTGCCCAACTCCCAACCCCCACCGGAGGCCCTGCGCTCAGAATGAGCCCAGCCACCTCCCCAGGACTTTGCAGTAAGGAAACGGCAGCAGGGGGACGGGCAGTCCCTGTCCCCAGCTCTGTCACCTGTGTGGCCTCTGGATGGCTCCCACCAACCTCACTGGCATGCCTGCCCCTGGGCAGCGGTGGGGCCTCACTGGGGGAGGAGAGAGCTGCAGCAAGGCCCTGCCCAGCAGGAAAGGGAACCTTCTGGACTAGCCCGGGCCAGCCGGGACCTCTTGGCTGCTTCGGCTGTAGCCCTGTCTTGGTCCTGTCACACTGGCCACAACTATTAAAGTGCCATTTCCTGTCTGGACCGCAGTGGGTGCCTCTCCTTGGACCCCCTTCCACGCCCAGCTTTTTTCCCCCAGGAGAGCTCACACCTTTGCTGCATAGAATAGCTTTATGAGGGGTGCCCGTCACAGGTGCGCGTCGTAGTAATACTCAGCCATGTCCGGCCCATCCCGCTTGCGTGGCTGGGCCTGGGAGAGGAGGGGTCGAGGCCCTCGTGGCCATGGGTGCTTGGGCCGAATCCCATAATCTAAAGAGAGAAGAGGCTACGGGTGGGAGGGGGACTCTGGCTTTGAATCCGTGAAGTCACCCCTGGACAGATGCTGTCTGGGATGAGAAGCCCCTGAGGCTGGCCCCGGTGTCCTCCCCTAGGGCATGTCTGCCCCATTGGGGAGGGGGGAGGGCAGGGGAGGGAAGTGGGGAGATGAGACGCTACCATCCACCAGGCCAGCAAGCGGCTGCGAGAGTTCCAGGGGGGCTGAAAATTCCTCAGGGATAGATCGCTGAGGCCTGTGGGAGATGTTGGGATGCTCAGCCCTGGCCCCAAATGGTGCTGCCACCTCCCTGTGGAGGGGGAAACGGCCCAGGGCGGGGGACTGGGTGAGCCCCCTAACCCCCAGGATGACGGGGGCAGCACGGCAGAGCCCCCACCTCCCGGGCCCCCCGGCCCTGTGGAGCTGACCCTGTGCCCCGGAGGTACCTCAGCGGCTGGGGGCGCAGGAGGGCAGCTGCCAGGACGAAGTAGAGGAGAAAGAGGCTCAGCCGGGCCCTGGGGTACAGAGCCCCCAGCATAGCAAGAACCATCTCCACTTGGGTCCCTAATCCCAGCTTCTGCCTGCCCCTCCCCCACAGAGGCCGGAACCTGCCGCCAGCTCCTGGGGCCACCTCACAAAGGGCCTTAGTTCCAGGCTCTGCGTCAGCACCAGCTCCGGGCAGGCCAGAAACCTCCACCGTGAGGTTTGGTTTTTGTTTATTTTACTGAGGCTGTGGGCCAACAGGTGCCAAACCACAGCCTGTTCCACTGTCATTGCCCAAGCGTGAAAGGCATAGACCTTTGGGGTCAGATCTCAGTTCAAACCCTTGCCTCTTGCACGTGGACACCTCACTTAATCTCTGTAGGCCTGTTTCCTCATCTGTAGATAAGGTACATAAATGAGCCCAAGGTCTGGCACGCAGTAGGCCCTCAGCAGAGGTCATGGTCACTGAGGTCATGAGGGACACTACCATCTGACAGGCTGGAAAGTGGCCACAAGAGTTCCAGGGGGCTGAAAATTCACAGCCTCAGTAAAATAAAACAGAAAACAAACCTCAGCATCCTCACCACCCAGAGCCCCGCTCATTCCCCCCCCCCAACCCCCGCTTCTGCTGCCAGCACCCGCGCTCTCTCAGTAGTCCCAGGGAGGTCCTGCCAGCTGAAGAGCCCAGAGCATGTCACTCAGCCCTGGCCACCTCCCAGATGCCACTAGAGGGGAGCCTGTCTGAGTGACTTCCCACTTTGCTCCCAGCAGCTTAGAAGAGCCTGGCCCGGGGGCTCCACAGGCCTTGCCACCACCCCGGAGGCTGGACGAGGGATGGCAAGTTAGGTGGCAAAGCCTGGCACCTACTCCTCAAAAGGAAGCTTCCCGAGGGGAGGGCTGGGGAGGGCTGTGCACGGCAGGGTCCCCAGCACATGACACCTGGCGGGGTTCAGTAAATATTTGTTGAGTAAATGCAGTGACAGTGTGCTGGAGTCTCTCTTCGCGGGCCTGAGGCAAAGCCCGGGTTCCTGCCGCGCCAGACCTGGCTTGTTCAGAAGCCCGAAGGCCCCAGCCCAGGCCCGCGGAGTCAGAAGCTGCCGGCTGAGCCCTGGGGTCTGCTCTGTGGAAACCCAGTTGCTTCTAACACAGCACACCTCCTGGCAGGTCCCACGCTCTCCTTGGTGCCCAAGGCCCAGAGAAGGATGTCCCTTGCTTCCAACCCTGACCCCTGGCCCTGAGTAACCCCCTGATGCTGACAAGTTCTGGCGTCTCCCTCAGCCCGTCCGCTCACCTCTAAGCCCACACTGACTTCTCGCCGATCACCTCCCTTTCCACGTCCTGGACACACGGCCTCCCACAAACCTGCCATAGCGTCCCCTGTCCCCACCAAGGGTCACCTTGCCAGAACTGCAAGTTCTGTATGCCGTAACTCTAAACCCCTCATCCTTCACCCTCTCGCCTCTGAGATGCCACCCTGTTCTCTCTACCATTACCACTCCCACGGCCCGCCTGAGTGACCCCTAAACCTCTCTACCCCCTGCCATTGCCTTACTTTGGCCCCGTCCAGTTTCAGGTCTCTGCCCACAGTGTCACTCCACATCTCTGCCCACCAGGCCGCCCTGCACCAGGCTGCTGGGACCAGGCTTAGGCAGCCCCTCCCCCACTGCCTCCCAGAGGCAGGTTGAGTTTCTTGCATGGTATGTGATGGTCTGTTGGATGTGACCCTGACCTTCACCTCCAGCCTCTTCCCCTCTGCTCCTGCTCTCTACTCCCTTCTGCCCCAGAACGGCTTCACACCACTGTGACACTACTGCTGATTTCTGCACACACGGCCACCCCCGCCAGTCTGCCCATCGGAAAACCGATGAAGTCTTACCAGTTTACAGGCCTGCATGAACGAAGGCTTCCCTGACCAGTGCGCCCTCCCCGGGCAGCGGGCCAGGCAGGCAGGCATCCCCCCATGCCCACTGCCCATCTGGACCACTTCCTATGCACACCTACCTGCTGCAGTGACCCCGTGCACTGCACGCACACACACGTCCATCTTCTCCACCAATCGGTGAGAACTCGAGGGCCAGGAGCTGTGCCCTCCTCATTTCTGAACACACAGCACAAGGCCCAGAGCCCGCTTCAGGGCAAGCACCCAGCAACACAGACTCAACAGGTCATGGGTCCTGAGCTATGACGCCCCTCCCTGGCAGGCTCAGAACCTTCACTCTCCAGCCCAGGACCTGGGTGGGGCCTCTCCGAGGCACTTGGGGAACAGTCAGGGAAAGGCTGGCCCCGAGGGGTCTAGGCGGAGGTGAGGCATGGCAGACACTGGGGCAGACGGAGCCATCTTAGGACTTAGGGGACCGCCATCTGGCTGCCAAGTCCAGCAGGAGAGTGTAGTCTGTCCCCAGGACAAGGGCAGCAGGGGCAGAGTCGACGATAGGGAACGAGCAGGCAGAAAGACCAGCCTGTGGCCACACGGTCCAACCCCTCTCCCCTCCCCAGCAGTGTGCACCCTTCCACCAGGGAGCTGGCAGGGAGAGTGTGGGGGGACCCCAGCTTCAACCCCCTGAACCTGCACCCAGCTTTCTCCCAGAACCTCTCGGGCTCCCATCCCCTCCACACCCGCCTCTCCCCTCCAAGCATCAGCGCCGGTGCTGGCTGGTGCTGACACCCTTTCCTCACGGGTGAAAAGCCTCTGCTCTCAACTAGGGGTTCAGGAGCCCCCAGAGCTGAGCCCGCTATTCTCTAGGCTCCATCAGAGAGAGGCTGCAGGCAACAGGGCCTGCAGGAGGAAGGGATGGACAGAGGCTCTGGCCAGAAGACACAGGGGCAGCTGTCATCCTAGGTCCAGCCTTGTGTGTCGTCAACAGGGACCGGTGATAGAGAAGCATTTACTCCTGCAGCTGCCACGGCAGGCAGCTTCCCCAGCTCGATGAGGTTAAATCCTGGCTTTCTGCGCCTGGAGGGACCTGAAGGCTTCTTGGCCCAATGACAAGGGGCGGGCGGCAGGGGCTCCATCACTAGAGGGTGTAGTCAGACTCCGGAGGGTGTTACAGGAGCTCTGGCGAGCATGCTGTGTGCAGAGCCTGGCCAGGGTGGGCGTGCCCGGTGCCTGGTGCCTGGGGCGGTGGGTGCGGAGAGGCCACGCGCTCGCACATTGCCAGAGTCAGTTTTATTAGGACAGAGGGGCCCAGGGGACTGAAGCCCGGAGGCCCCCCTGCCCACCGCAGCAGAGCATGCTGCCCGCCCCCTCCCCGCACCCCACTCCCAGATGTCCATCAGCCCCAATTGTAGAAATAAATTTTCTGCCAGGTGGGCAAGTAATCCATGAGCGGCTCTGAGAGAGAGAGAGAGAGAGAGAGAAACAAGTTCGGGGCTGAGGGCCAGACTCCAGTCTGCATCTAGTCAGGGTCCTTCTCAGCGACTGCCACCCAAATCCAGCCCAGAGCCCCTGACCCTCCCACCTCTCCACCCCTAGGGAGGCAGAACTGGCAGTGATCTTTGCCTCCATTTATAGGCCAGGACTCTCAGGCTCAGAGAAGCCGCACAGCCTGTCCAGCTGTCGCCGCTGCCAGCCCCAGCCCTGTGCTGAGGTGGATCTCCAAACAGCCTGGCGGGCTTTCCCTGATATATCATCCTCACCCAGAGCCGGTCTCGTGTCACTCCAGGACACCGAGGCAGGAAAAAGACTGACAGCCTGATGCGATATAATGTGAGTCCCCCCACCATGGGACACCCCCTGAGGTTCTGTGGCCAGCCTGGCCCATGCCCAGGAGCTGTCACCCACCCAGCCTGACCTCCGGGCTCCCTCTCCCAACTGTGCCGAGGATCAAATGATAAGGAGACAAAAAGAAAACAGGGAGCTGGGGCCACACGTGAGATCGGCACCACTTAGTCATCATCGCGCCCCCACCCCATGCTTACTCGTGACCAGGCCGATGCCGGGGACGTGGTCTGCCAGCAGCTGGAGCAGGAAGAGGATCCTGGCCCTGCAGGCGGGAGAGAAACAGGGAGCAGGCTCAGCGGGGGTCTGGGTCCCTGCAAATGAGGGTGCTAAAAAACCTTCACTGCCTCCTGACTAAAGGCAGAGCTTGCAGAAGACAGAAGGTAACTCTGTGGAGCTAGGACAGACCCCAGGACAAAAGGGCGAGCCTCTGGGTGTGGCCCCAGTCCTGCCCCCACCCAGCCACAGGCCTGGGATGCTCCCACCTCCGCTGCGGGCTGGGGCTGGCGGTTGACTCACAGCATGAACACAGACACCTCCTCCTGCCTCTCCCCCACGTCTTGCCCTTCCTTCCTTCCTCTGAGCCAGCAAATGCTATGGAGGGCCACGCACAGGGCAGTGCCCGCGCAGGTGCAGCGAGGGCCCAGAGGGGAGGGCAGCCCCGCCCTGCCTTCAAGAAGCCCCAAGTCTGGCAGAAGAGCTGAGGCACCCCGAGATCTCCCAAGCCAATGCTGAGAGTGGCTAGTGCACCAGGAGGGGACGAAGCCTGAGGGGGTCACACTTTTGGCTCAGAGGAAGGGGCGAGGCCATGGCCCTATTTTTGAAGAGATGGGGGTTTCCCACCGGAGAAGCCGGGGTGAGACGATGATGGCGTTCATGTCGATGACAAGAGAAATGATAAGACGTGACATTTGGTGCTTACCGTGTACCAGGCACTACCGTACATACTAAATCACCTAACCTCTACGACAACCCTCTGAGGGGGATTACTATGTCCCCATTTTACAGATGAGGAAATGAGGCCCAGAGAGGCTCAATAACCTGCCCAAGTTCACACGACTGGAGGGCAGCCTGGTTCCAGAGACCAGAATGTTTGACAGAAAGAAAAGAGGACAGAACATGGCTCCCTTCCCAGACCGCACCTGGAGCCCCTCAGCACCCTGCTCCCTGTCCTCTGGGGAAATACAGGATTTCTCTGACAGGTTTCTAGACCCTTCTCAGTCTGGGCCACTGCTCCGAGGGCGCCACACTGGTCAGGTCAGCAGGAGAGCGAGCCACACTAGAAGCCTGCAGCCTGGGGAGCCCCCTCTGCCATCACTGTGGTCTCGAAATCCCTCAGTTCCACGAGATCCGGGGGCTGTAACGTTCCCTCTGTGAAGTGCGAGCAGTTTGTGGGGGGAGGTCACGTGATCCATGTAAGTCTCTGGAATGTTCTCTAGAGTACGGGACAGGATTTGGCTTTCATGCCTCATGAGCTTCCAAACTTACCTGAAAACAGGAACTGCCAGGCAAAGTAATCTTCACTGAGGAGGTATTAAATATAAGCTTACTTTCTACTGTCTCAAAAACCACAGCAACAACAGAGACTGTGTGGCCATAAGGTTCAATGCAGTTCCAGCTAATAGTGCAGCCTATAAGCAGCGTACTTGTGAAGTACGGGGGTCCCAGGGAGCCTCAGTCTGTCACATGGCCCAAGTCGCTGTGCAGGGACCCCCTCCTCAGACCTTGGGCTGACCTCAGGCAGCCACCCTGGCAGGCTGTGGGAGCCTTGGCTGCGAGTCACCCCCCAAGCCCCTGGCTGGCCCCTCTGTGTCTGGCTGAGGCTG